CACCTCAGTGCACCCCTGTTTGGATTTGTTACATCTGTTGTGATCCTTCGGAGAATCTTACGGTCTATGTTGTAATTTAAGATTGCGTGTGTGACAGGATAAAAGTTTTTTTAAATAAAGTGACGGTGTTTTTCAGTTTCGGTATTCCTTACATATGTGTATATATGTATATATATATATATACATATATACATATATATACACATATAGATACACATACATACATATATGCATACATAAATATTTACATTCATATATGCATTCATAAATATATACATACATATATACACATACATATATGTACATATATATAACATATATATTATATTATATATATATTATAAATAAATATATATATAAATATATAAAATAATATATATAATATATATAACATTTATTATATTATATATATGTATATATTATAAATAAATATATATAAGTATAAATAAATACCCATAAACAGGAATCTCATGGATTCCCGTTGTTTTGGTGCTGTACTGCTACTATTTACCAAAAGAGAAAGTCCCGAGGTGTTAACAGATTCATAACAACAGCCGTAAAGTTAAAGAAAAGCATGACACGACAAGTTGCGCCACAACCGCCTTCAATCTCACAGTTCCAAAATATGTGTACGTATAGCTGTCATTAACTCATTCTCACACATTTTGACAGCCGCCAGATGGCTCTCTAGCCGGCTGGTGCGACTTATACTCCAGAGCGACTTATAATCCGGAAAATACAATCAATAAAAACAGATTTTTAAAAGCATACGTGTAAATATAAAAGACTCAAAACTGAAGCTGCAGGACGTTGAGACTTGACTTTGAGACTTGCCAGTCTCGACTTGGGACTTGAGGGCAAAGACTTGTGACTTGCAAAACAATGACTCGGTTTCTACGGTGTCAGACAGAGATTGGAATTTAATATTTTAACAGCCTGCTCACGGGGGGACTGTCTGTTTTCGTTATACGTACTTTGTTTGTCCGCTGTGTGTCTGAGTACAAAGAGGTAAACAGAGAGAATAATTAATTGTTGTTTTTTTCATCATTACATAGACAATTAAAAGATTAAACTAATTCCCCTCTTTAGGCAGCTTATCCATCTGTCTAATCAGCAGACAGGACAGTGGCATGAACACCTGCTCTGCAGCGAATGACCTTGAACAGGGGTCATGGTTTGCCCGACCGGGGTTTACTGCTGTTCTGTCCTTTTTAAGGTGCTGTGTTTGCCATCAAACTCAACATTTGTATAAGTTCACTTATTATATATATATATAACATTATCCTTTATATATTGATTTCCTTTCAACAAAAAAACCACATGCGTATTTGCTACCGTATTTTCCGGACTACATGTCGCTTCCAGAGTAAAAGTCCCACCAGTGCCCTCTAGTGTCTGTCAGTGTGAAAATAATGTAAATTTTCAGTGGTATAGGAGCAGCAGATGCTGGTACCCAACCCTAGAGTGCCCTCTAGTGGTTGTCAGTGTGAAAATAACAAGTACAGGTCTCACCAGCCAAAAAATGCATAATGAAGAAAAACAAACAAACAAACATATATAACCCTCTCCGGAGTATAAGTCGCACCAGTGCCCTCTAGCGGCTGCCTGTGTGAAAATAACGAACGTGTACATTTTCAGTGGTACAGGAGCAGCAGATACTGGTACCCGACCACTAGAGTGCCCTCTAGTGGTCGTCAGTGTGAAATTATATATTTTTAATATATAAGTCGCACCAAGAG